CTTCCCACTTTGGCAAATGGCAAGTGTCGGTATACCCATAAAAAACGAATATTTTATATAGGAACCTCAACATCTCGTGGACGTGTAGGCTTCTGTTGCCGAAAAGCCGTACTGTTGCATTTTCTCCACAAAGGATTCCTGATGTTTTCAGTTTCTTACTTACGTACTTTTCAATGATTCTTCCTTAATTGTTCCTTTTTTTTTTCCTTTTTTTGGTACTCTTATCTAGTTATGGAAGCTTGATAATTTGAATTTTACCAATATGTAATATTTAAGTTGAGAGATTAGAAAAATTTACCTCACACTGGAATTCTGATATGCAGAGAAAGGGTCCCCTGGGATGACCGTGTGTCCTAGTGTGGCTGAAACAGCCCCGTTTACACACATCGTTCTGTCATCCTGTCTGGGTTAGGCTTTGTCCCTGATTTTTTGCTTTCAAATGAAATATTATCATGAGCAACTGTATTAGGCTATCTAGGATGGATGAACTGATAGTACCTTAAGCGTCTGCCATAATCTCCTCAAGATGTGTGAAATGCAAGACCGATGAGTAGAATTCTATTAATATATGGTTCAGTGTATAAGAAAACCAATGCCTCCACCACCCCCCCATCTTCTCCCCAAACCTTCAAAGATACATTGTAACTAGGGCCTTTCTTTCAAGGACAGCCTACAGATCAATCAATGATTAAGAAGGTAGGTGCTTGGGGCGCCTGGGTGGCTCAGTCGGTTAAGCGTCCGACTTTCGCTTGGGTCATGATCTCGCGGTTCGTGGGTTCGAGCCCCGCGTCGGGCTCTGTGCTGACTGCCAGCTCAGAGCCTGGAGCCTGTTTNAACTAGAATCAGCCCCATGGGCAGATCTAGATTTATACCATAATCCTATTTATCCACGGAACAGGCACAAACAAAATCTGTAGCGATTTGCACATGGAGGGGGGATGGAATAGACTGGAAGGATACACTACTGCCAAGCCAGTAGCATTGCTAACATGTGCCTAATAATATAGCCTCTCGTGGGGGCGCCTGGGTGGCTTAGTCAGTTAAACGTCCGACTTTCGCTTAGGTCATGATCTCACGGTTCGTGGTTTCGAGCCCCGCGTCGGGCTCTGTGCTGACTGCCAGCTCAGAGCCTGGAGCCTGTTTCAGTCTGTGCCTCCCTCTCTCTCTGACCCTCCCCTGCTCACGCTGTCTCTCTCTCTCTCTCCTAGAAATAAATAATAAAAAAAAAAAACATTAAAAAAAATAAAAGAAGGTAGGTGCTTGTGCAAGAGTAGCAGAGACAGCTAATTCCTTTCAGGGCCGGTGGAGGTGGGAAAGTGCTGGAAGCACCAGCCCACAGATGCTGGAGAGGCTCCGTTGAGGGCACCCAGAAGTTGAGGTGATGGGCCGTCTCCAGTGGCAGAAGAAGAATTTCCCAAGGAGCCAAAATACCAACATATTATCAGTTCCTCAGATGCTTTCAGCAGAAAACCAATTAATTTGTTTTCAAATATGGTTTAATTTTTTAAATTCAGTTCATAGAATTAAAATAAAGCTTTTAAATATTCATTCTGTCTAAGCTAAAATGTATGATGTTACTTTAAATGGTATGGTAATTCAGTTAAGTAAATATTAAGGATAAAATTATTTTTTTATGATCATCATACAAATGTTGGTGGAGCACAATGTTGCGGGTTTTTTTTAAAGCATACTATTTTTATTAAATTAAGAAATTTGTGAAGCAGAAAGGTATTTGCGATTCAGGTGCACAGGTGATTTGCAATTGCCTCCCAATGAAGTTACAGTGATTTACCAATGAAAATACTCTAGTTTTCAAAATTTACATGTATACATAGATGTATATAGGATACATAATACATATAAGATATAAGATATATGTTATATACGTATACATACACATATTAGGGCAAATAAGCTAGAGTATTTTTTCACCATTCGGATATTATGAATCATGCCGTTATAAATATTTGTGTACACACATTTGTGTGGACATATATTTTCATGTATGTACCTAGGAGTAAAGTTACTGGGTCATATGCTAACTCTGTTTAACATTTTAGGAACTAACTCTTTTACAAAGTGGCTGTACCATTTTATATCCTGCCCAGCAGTGTATGAGGGTTCTGATTTCTCTACATCCTCACCAACATTTGTTATTATTTAATGTTTTTATTCCAAGCATCTTAGTGGGTATAACGTAGTATGTCATTGTGATTTTGATTTGCATTTACCTGAAAACATTTTGCTAATGAGGATGATGTTGAAGACAAACAAATCTTCAGAATGATGGCACACATTTTCTGCCTTTGCTTCTCCCCATCCATCAGAGTTAGGAACATCTCATGCTTTAAAGAAATATTTTGTAAATCAATCTAATTTTCCTATAGTAGCTGTGGCATTTTTATAAATGAGGCTTCTACATTTTAGTTGCACTGCATTCAAGATCAGTTGAAAAATTTTAATTGAATCATTCAACAAATGAAGCACCCCAAAAATCATCCTTTGAAGCTTTAGTAAACGGCAGAATTGAAAGCTTATAAGAAGGAGAACACTGAAATTTATGCTCATCAAAGGAAGAGAAATGGGCAAATTAAATAATGAGAGCTCGAATGTTATGCAAGATTCCGTTTTTCAATTTTATAATTTTCTCTTGAAATAAGTAGACTTGAGAAAAGACTCTTTTGACAAAGTGTCTATTTTTAATTGAGGAAATTTATATTCTGCACCAGAATGAAAAGAAGCTGATTTGTGAGAGGGCCTAAAAATTATGCAGCATTTATATGTGATTTTAAAAGATCATAAATAGATGTAATTCATATTTTATTGTCTTACAAAATGTTTGGCAAAGATACACTAAATGGAGGTAAAATAACAGTATCTGGGAAAGTATTGGGGCTAAATCACATTACGCATGGCCAGTCTTTGGCAAACGTGCTTGGAGATTACCAACACCTTATATGGAGAATATTTCCACAGTTAAAAATACTATGATTTACAGAGTTGATTAAGGTATCAATAATTTCAACTTTACTAACAATAAAAAAAGTTTTGAATAAAACTGTAAATAAATGTATGACAATAATAAAACCATATTGAAAAAATATATGTATATTATATGTATATTCTGGTGATCTGGTCTGTTAGAGACAGAAATGACTAAGGGACAGAGTCATGGCAGTATCTGAATTATACCAAAAGTAATGATTTTGTGAATGTGACATTTTAATATGCAAATGATCAATATAAAAAGTTTTCTTTTTATTTTGCTTTAAAGCATACAGATATATGCTCTTTATTTTTATGAAAAATATAATTTTTCCATTGAATCCTTTTTGTCACAACTGTACATATTTATAATTTTATTTTTAACATGCTCTTTAACTTTGAAAAGCGCCTTATAAATCATATCGTCATTCAACTTTTAATCAGTGTGATTTTCCTTCTAATTTCCAACCCATTGGTCAGCAAGATGAAAGAGTGGATATTTGATTCAGTATCTAATCTGATAACAACGTAGTCCAATCTGACCATTTAAATAGTCCCCAGGCACTGCCTACACTTCCTGGGAAAATCTTTTTGGTGTTCCAGACGGACTCCTCTTTCACTGTTTCTTCCCCTAACATGGTGTCCAGGCAATTTATACGACCTGCTAGGAAAAGGATGGGCTTCAGGCTCCTCTCGTCTCCGTGGGGACTACCTTGGACCAATGGTAATTACATTGGCCCTTGCCACCTGGTTGTTGTGTGCCCCCCAGGACCCAAAGTTCATGTATACGCAGTGAAGCTTTGACTGACCCAGCCTTACCTCAGCTTCTTCAATGGAGGTAAAAGGATACAGCAAGTCGGAGACTGACAAGGGAGGCTAGAGCTAGAGCAGGTCAAGGCTTCAGTAGATCTTCTAGGCTAAGTCATCCATCTTGAAATCACAGGTCACAGACATAGATGTCTGTCTTGTGCTGAGGATATGATATATAATTCTCATACACGTGCACTCGCCGAGAGTTCAGCGTTCCTAAATGCCTACGTACCTGTTCATGTAAGAGTGCTGCAATCAAACCTAAGCTGGATGTAAAGTAATTAATATATTTTTTAATTTTTTTAAATGTTTATTTATTTTTGGGAGAGAGAGAGTGTGTGTGTGTGAGCAGGAGGGGAGGGGAGAAGCAGAGAGAGAAGGAGACACAGAATCTGAAGGAGGTTCCAGGCTCTGAGCTGTCAGCACAGAGCCAGACGCGGGGCTCGAACTCACTGACCGTGAGATCATGACCTGAGACGAAGTCAGACGCTTAACCAACTGAGCCATGCAGGTGCCCCAAATGTAATTAATATTTTAATAGACTACCCAAAAAGGGGGAAGAAGAAGATTAGGCATGGACTTTAGGATTGGAAAAAAAAAAGTCAGAAACTGTCATCAAAACAGAAAGAAATTGAACAAATGTCACCAAGAATGGTGATTCTAGACAGACTGTGAGGCGAGTACCATGCTACCAAGGAGAGATGAAACCTTTGCAAAAAGCAGATGCCTATTTGTCAAAGACGGCTTGAGGACAAAAGGCATAAGCATAGATTATGTGACTTTGCAAAGGTCTTTCTAATGATGCAATAAATATTCTTAAGAAAAAAATTGGATTCTGGCAACAAGACAAGAGGTATATCTTTTGATACATAGGGGGAAAGGGCATCTCTGTATGCCTAAGGACAAACGCATTATTTAAAATCTAATGTTATTTAATGTTACTTCATTTTTCACTAAAGTCAATAACAGCTTTGATTTTCCAGTCCTTAAGAACCCAAGCTCTTTCTGTGTTTCTTAGAATTTCCCTATTTTTTGGCCATTGATATTATTTTTAGCAGTCTTTTATATTAAATACATATTTTTCCATTTGTGGTAGACAGATTTTTTTGGTTAATGTTATTTTTATGTGTTCTACTTTAAACACCTAGTATTATGTGTGTTTTTATTTACACATTTATTCACATTGGGCTGTGTTGTATTTTCAGTTGATTTCATAGGTGGACTTGATGCACACTCCTATTACCAGGATCATGTTGAGTTAAAGCCTGTTAACCTGTAAGTAAAGGTGTGATGAGGTGGAAAATATTAATCCTTCTAACTTGGTCAAAACTAACCAAATCTGAAATAATTTGGACCTGCTACTACTAATCATTGGTTTAATTTTCCACTCATACTTAAAACACACCTTTGACATGTAACCCAACATCCTCATTACTGTTATTCATTCCAAAAAGAATTTGAAATAGGTAACATGGTTTATGTTTCCAAAATGGTATTTTTATTCTGTTTTTCTTATTAGAGGTTGATAGCTAAATTGGGAAAAAAAAAGATAATGTAGTCTACAGAAGAGCAACTAGGTATGTATTTGGGGACCACATAACAGAGGAAAAGGGGGGGAAAGATTGGGTTCAAAACCAGGCTCTATGTGCGTGGTCTCGGGGGCCTTCCTTGACCTTCTGAGACTTCATTCTCCCACCTGTAATATGCTTTCAGAGGCAGAGAAAGGAGGATGGAAATGGGATAAGGTATGGAAAGTATATGTAAAGTTGCCTATGATCGTGCCTAGTACTCAAATATTTGACATTCTCCCTAGAGGACGTGGAAAGAAGTCAACAGTACAACCCAAAGCACCTTAAACTGGACACATTTCAGTTGAGTATAAGGAAGGTTTCATGGTCACCTCGTTGATAAAATACTAGAAAACAAGAAAATAGATACAGTGACTCCATTCCTAGGAAACTCTAAGTAGCAAATAGACAACTGTATAAAATAATAGTTACCATGTGCCAAGCACTTGGCATGTATTGCCTCACTTTATCGTCATGGAAATACTGTAATGGACTCACTAATAGTCCCACATCATGAAAAGAGAAGCAGACGTACAGAGGTTAGTCCCACTAGTAGTAAGGAGTGGAGTTGGGATCATTCCTGAATAAGCTATCACCATGCCTGGTATTGTGGACTTGGTCAGATGACCTTCTATTCTTTCAGCCCAATGTTCTTCCATTCCATGGTGATAAAGGTAATTGTGTACAACAGCCACTGGGTGTAAGAGACAAACATGAACGCCTTCCTCTTCTGTGTCTTTGCCACAGTGGTTTGTATCTACAATCCCCCACCCCCAGCCCTGCGAAGCCTGCACTGACTCCCTGCTTCTCCAGGTTGAATTAATTTTATTCTGGTAGAATGATCTAAAGGAAACATAGCTCACAAGCTAAACAAATCAGCACTGTGCTTGTCACATGATAGATGCTTAAATAAATGTTGGTTTCTTAAAGCAAATCCAATTTGGAAAATCATTCACCTTATATAACACTCTGGGATGAAGCAGTTGCCACCTCATTACTCATGCTACTGAGCGCTCGTAAATGATGTGCTCCAAAAGTTGATATTTGTAGACCTGGGGAACTTGGCTGGGATTGTGACAATAACAGAGATGATCACTGCATTGGAAGTGAGAAGAGAAAGGAAACAATGCCTAGCAGTGGCTGGGAGAGACTAATATACATTTGATATGTAATAAAGAAGGTGATGAATGATTTCTTTCATCTCCACTGTGAAAAAAAAAAGAACTCAGCAGAGAAATCGCAATATGAAAAATGTTGGTCAGATGTAAGAAAGATCTTTCTATTAAGGAAGGTTATTAAACGTGCAATTGATTAAGGTTGGTAATGGAATCTCCTTTCTTGAATGGCATGGGCATCCGTGTATTTCACAGTGTCTCTGGCATGACCGAAAGGCAAGTGACTGCCATCTATGCTCCCTGAAGTCTCTCCCATCTCTGTGAATCAAGAACACATAAAATGTACCTGTGAGATTACCTGAAAGGCTTTGATCAACTCCGCTGCCTCCTCAAAAGGTTTTCTCAACTACACTGTTCACTCATGAACTCTCACACCTTTTTAGCTGAATGTAGCATAAACTACAGGCTGCAGAAAGCAATAGAACAAGCTTCTGCTTTGACAGATTATGCATATTACTGTCAGACGAATACGGAGAGCCTTTCAACCATGAAGGGAGCAGGGATCTGAAAGATCAAGCTATGTCTGAATTAAAATCATTCTGCATGAACAATTTAAAAGGTCAGCATGTGTGCTCCCCACAGGTATGTAAATATTGCAGTTTATCCAGTTGGCATTAGTCAGCCTGCTTGATTTCTTTTAATAAGGCCATTATGTTGGATTTTGTTGTGGTAGGCTCGGTGATGTCATATCTACCCACGAACAGGTTGGAAAAAAGCCAGTCTTCCGTGTAAGTTGTTAGAGAGGGGAGAGAATGCTGGTTTTTAACTTTCATGAAGTCTCTTGAATCTCCATGGAGTACTAAGGCAGGTTTTCTGAGGAAGCCACTTCATTAAGGGAATCAGGAGATTCCTGAACATATTCCCTGGTACATGTACGTAAAAGGGTGGCTTTCAACTCTAGAAGGGCAGTTTAGAAGCAGACAAACCATTCACAGGGAACACTGCCTGTTTGTACAGGAAGCCTTGATTCTCGTGTTTGTCGTTGCTCATAATCATAAAATGTACCTTTCCTCTGCCCACAGTCAAATTGTGCATGAATGTGTGTGTTGGGGACGATGTAATTTTACATATGGAGTTGGTCTTCCATGCTTTGTCTCCTTTTTAAAGAATGACACCAAGCTTTATTTACAACTCTTTATTTATTACTTATAGTATGTGTCCACAGTCCCTGTGCTAGATACCAGAAATGGAAAGATTAGCAACACTTGAGCATTGACCTCCAGCAGCCAATGATCTAGGAGAGGAGACCTACATAGATAGACCTAAGTAGAGGCAAAACAATGTCCCCGAGTTAATTTTTTTGCAGAAGAATGGTTACTTCTCACTTGCAGGGCAGGAGATCAACCGGGAGATAATTCCTGAGCTGACTTAGGAAAGACGACGATGCGACATTCATCAAAAGCAGAAGAGAATGACTGTTCCTTCCTTGTATGGAGGCTAATTTGCTTGGCCATTCTACAGAGGACGAAGTTGAAATTTAAGACTACCCAATCTTGTGTTTGCTATAGTTGTCACCTAAACGGAGCAAGCCTATGAGGAAGCAGATGTTTAAGTAGAGCAGCAACATTGATAACCAGGAGTGCCCCCAGACCCTCCACAGTCACTGCTCCGCCATCTAAACAATGTCACTCTTTATACCGAAAGCTATGGAGATGCCAGCCATAAAAAACAATGAGATCCTGCCATTGCCAACAGTGTGGATGGACCTAGAGGGTATAATGCTAAGTGAAGTAAGTCAGACAAAGAAAGACACATACCATATGATCTCAGTCATATGTGTAACTTAAGAAACAAATGAACAAAGAAAAAAAAGACCAAAAAAGCCCTGCTCAAATACAGAGAACAAATTAATGGCTACCAGAGGGGAGGTTGGTAGACAGATGGGTGAAATAGGTGAAGAGGAATAAGCGTATCCTTACGATGAGCACTGAGAAATGTATGGAATTGTTGAATCACTGCGTTGTACACCTGAAGTTAATCCAACACTGTATGTTCATTACACTTGATTTTTTTTTTAAAAAGCTATATAGATGAATGAGATTCTCACTGTCCATACCTACTATCCAGTGAAACCACAGCCAAGGGAAGGTCCTTGGAGGAATCAGTGGGGAAAGAAGGCCCTATTGATCTTGCCTGTAGTCTGGCAACGTGTATAGAATAATTAGGAGCCCCTGGCATGTTCCCCCTTCCCCCTGTGCCCACCAGGGAGCGGGACAGGGTCTGCCAGCCTTGTGCCAGTGAAATACCACTAAAAAAATTAAATATTTAAAAATTTGAGTGGCTTTTAGTGGCTGTCGTGTGAGTCTGCCTCGGGAATACGTGACACGCAGGTCAGGAGTAGTCCGTTGGGGTCCATCACCGTGCCACGGCCATCAGGGAGGCAGCTATAACCCTCAATCTAAGCACAGCCTAGGTCTCTGCCAGGACCTCCTCCATGATGGCCACCACACACTGCCACCGCCTTTCACACGGGGAAACAAGCTCTTGTCATTGGAGCAGAGAGCCATGTGGTCAGTGGCGGCTTTGAAGAGGGCATCTTCAGAGCGGCTTACCATCGGGGCTTCGGTACCACCATGGAGAGAGGGCTAATAAAAGCAGATTTACCTCTCAGGAAGAAAAATCACTTGGCAAAAACCCATGCAGCTATGAAAGGGATATGGAATTTCAGGGAACATCCTAGTGAGCAACTAAATTAAAGTTTGTCGAAATCAAAATGGTTAGCGACTGGGTAGTGGGAAAATTCAGCTCTATGTAGAAGGAATTCTTCAGATAGAAATAATTAGACCAAGGCAGTTTGTCAAAGAAAGATAGCAGTGGAATTTCGAAACTGAGTTCCACAACAGAGATAGAGATCTGGTGATGTTAGAAATTTCCATGAAGAAGATGCCCCAAGACTGCCATTAAAAGACTTGGTAAAAAAGCTTCTTCCCCCACATTCAGCCAGTGTTTTTCTAAGCTTTTCAAATAAGAACTTGACTTTTACCTGGTATCTTGACTTGTCTGATTGCCTTGGCTGGAGGCTAATTTTTCTTCACAAAAATTGTCACATGCTACATGGTCACTACTGATCGAGTATCGGCTATTGCAACTCAGTATGAGAAGACAGACAAGGCTAATTCCCATTTCAGGTGGGCTCTGCAGTCAGTGCCCACCTGTATCTTCACTGCCTGGTTTCTGCCTCTAATGGCCCAGGCCCAGAGGAAACCTGCCTCTGATGACCGGCTGCTGGACAGATGAGGGGTGGCCATCGACCTGCTCTTCCCTGAGAAGAGCTGCTTTGTATCAGCATCCCGGTAAGTTGGTACCAGACCATGCTGCATTTACAACACCTAGATTAAGAACCAGCTAGGAAAACAAAACAGGTGTGTGTGTGTGTGTGTGTGTGTGTGTGTGTGTGTGTAGAGATAGGGACGTGAGAACGATATGCTTTCAAACATTGGTTTAAAACCCAGCAGCCACCAGTGATGTATTAGTAAACTGAAGCTGGAGGAGCCTGGAGTCTACAAACCGCATTGACCCCATCACTCTTCTGTTTCTTGCTCAAGTGCTTGCAGACGAATAAAATGATAACCTTCTGTCTCTATCCCATTTTTATTTGTCCTTGTTTGGCTCTCACACGTTCACATTTCGCTCACTCTGTGTCTGGCCTCTGTGGCACACAGAGCAAGCTGTCTGGAAGCTGCTCAGACTGGGGGCTGCTCGCTTTTCCCACGACTGAGTGTGGAGTCTTGTTGCCTGAGGGCTTCCCTCGGCCCTGGAAGTGGCGGCACTTACAGAGGCATCAACTCTCCGAGGCAGGGTCAAGAGCGCAGAGCACAACAAATGCCTTGTACTCAGTGCCTTCTTAGTTGTCCCAGAGGGCAGGGGGCTTCCCGACGTGCCGGCCTCACTAGGCACAAAGGGGCAGTGTTTAGGGCTTGCTGATCTTCCTCTCCTTGGAGCACCTTTCCCTTCGTCATTGACATTAAAAGCTTTTTGATCCATCACAGGAAACGACTATTTCATTTTAAGAGCGATGTAAGAATACACCCTAATGTGTAGCCATTTGACCATGGAGCAGTGAAATGGCTGTGTTTAAAGGGCTAGACTCATCACGAGGCTAGTCAGCTCATGCACCACTATCCTTGCTAGGAAGGAATGATTCCACCAACGGGGCAGCCAGCAACATGAAAGAGGGTGTGCCGTGACCAGGACCGATGGTCAGCCACCTGCCCCGTGTCTCACGGCGATCACCGAGACCTTCGCGTTTGACCCGTGACCTCACTCACTGCCCCTAGAACTTGTGGTTCTCACACTGCCCTGTGAAGCACATGAAGCCTTTTCCAAAATGAGAAAACTCGCATCTGAGTGGTGCCCTCCGGGGACACTGTCGAGCCCTGTCTTTGCCAGATCTCTCGGGAATCTTCTCAGTACTTGTCATAGATATTAACAGCAAGAACATAGATCTTCCCATGGAAACACAGAGCATCCCCAAGTTAATCAACAAAATAATCAACATAAGTAAAAATAACTTCATTTTGCCTGTTTGCAAAGTATCCTCTGATATTAAAATTAAATGCAATGCAATGTATACCAAATTTCATGTTAAAAACATACTTTGTTTTCCTTTATATTCACATCAAGAAACACTTATAATCCCATGTAATGACAGGTTCTGGAAAGAAATAAGACATAAGAAAGAAGATAAAATACACAGAGGAGAGCACACACATGCACACACATATCCCAGAAGTGATAGAGGGACAGAAAAGCAATAGAAAAAGATACAATGACAGGCCTCTCAGAAGACACACTTTGGAATAACATCACTACCTTACTAGCTGATTTTATTCTGCCTGGAAGGGAGGTACAGGTAACTACTAACATCTGAAGAAAAGAATAAAGATATGATCTTAAGGTTCCCAAAACTCAAACTGTTCTACCCAAACACATTGATCAATCATAGCATCATTAAAAAGAGTGACAACTCGACATTATGTGCCTCCAGATGTGACACAATCAGAAGACACAGCACCGCCGCATATGAAGTATCTTACCACAAAGTCAAGCTTGATCTTGGACTTAAAGTGTAGAAAACTCAGTAACAGAATTATATCCGTCTCACCGCAAAAAATAAATGTGATGGGTGTACCCAGAAGCTTCCCCCAAACTCCCATCAGTACTACCAGCAGCCAACAAAAGCTCCTTCCCTACTGCCTTATCCTCATTCTAGAAGAGATTTGCCTGTTGAGTGGATGAATGAACTTCAGGATCTTGACACTCCCTCCTAACTAAGATACAGTATAAAACTATTAAAAATCCACTATTATAATCTTATCCCTTTATCTTTCCGTTTCAACCCCTGTTAAATCACAATGGGGTGGAAGCGGTAAACATGTGGGCTATATAGTTTTCAGAACGTAGAGAAATAGAGGAGCAGAGAAACTGTGATAGGGAGGTGAGGATATACTTAAAGGACTCCAACTCTTGAGGTGTGTGAGAGGGAACAGAACTTCCCTGGAGAAGAGTGGCTACCTAAAAGCAAAGCTGGAAAGTTACAGGGTTTTTCCAGTTATTTAAAATTATGACCAAAACGTCTATTCAGAGCCATAGAGAAAGTCATTGAACAGAGTTCATGGAAGAGACTTGCTAGATGGTGAGATAAAATAAATGTAAAAATACAGCTTCTACTGGCAGGATGCTTATAATTTAGTTGGAGAGAAGAAGTATCCATACCTGAGTGAAACAATCAGAGCCGAATTAATTGCCAGTTGCCCCACATGGGGTACAGCAGATAGCATCAGAGCTGCTGCCCGCAGGGTGAGAAAGCAGTATGGCTGAGGTAGAAGTAGAATCTTCACAGAACAGAGCACACAGAGCAGAGGAAATGTCACCCGAACCCTAACGATGAATAGGATTTGGATCAGCTAAGACTTTTTCATGAGAGAAACAGTGAGAGCAAAAATAGTCAACAAATATTTATTAAGTGCCAGCTATGTGGTAGACAGTGCGTGAGGCTGATGTTGTGGGAATATGCGTAAGCCAGAGCCACCACCTTCCAAAGGCTGACTGCCTAACATAGACTTAGAGTCAGTAGATGAGAGCGACTAGAGATAGGAGGGGGTATTCTACAGGAAGAGATCACTAGGATGTGTGTGTGTGTGTGTGTGTGTGTGTGTGTGTGTGTGTGTGTGGAGAGAGAGAGAGAGAGAGATTTTAAGAAATTGGCTCGTGTGATCATGGAGCCAGGCAAGTCCAGCAAGTGTACGGAAAGTTTGCAGACCGGAGACCCAGGGAAGAGTTGATGTTGCGATCTTGAGTCCAAAAGCTGTGTAGAGGCAGAATTCCTTCTTCTCGAGGTCACCTCAGTTTTGTTCTTCAGG